CGACATTTCTATTGTATTCCTCCTCCACCACCACCGCCACCACTCTCCTCCTCCACTTACACAGTATGAGGCTTTAGTATCTAACACGACGACAGCAGCAAAAACGTCAGACAAAAAGTGAATTCTCGCTGCTTTAAACTTCTTCGCTCTTATTCCATCACGCTCAATTTGTCACATATTGACAAAATGTTCTGGAGTTAAATTCTAAAGGAATGTATCTAATTTTAGAAAAAGCAAAATTAACTCGTTTCCTTGTGTTCACGTCCTTCATACAACGTGAAATTAGGAAGTTTCACTTCGAAGTCGTGCAACGACGGCAAAGCATATGCACGAAATTGTGATGCACGTGCAAAGTTTCGTTCTTGCTGTTAAGGCCTAGTTTACCCCCGTCTCATTAATATGCAACATTTTTTCACATAGAATCAGTGAACCGAAACTTGAAACATTTGTTGAACAATAAAGGCGGCAAGAAATAGATGAACTCAAATACATAAATACGTTACGATTCTGTGTTTCCAAGTCACAGACAAGTATATATATAGCGCTCACGTTTATGAGATTCCTCCACAAAAACTGTTTATTTGGTCCCTACTATACTACTTACCGGTATGTTGCCTCATTCCTGTACAGCTTTCTCCCAGGCCTTCTCGGTCAATGTATTTCCGAGACGTACCGCCAACCTCGTTCCCAGGTTCTGTCTCTTGCTTCGAGAAAGAACCTGATTGCAGCTGGTCAAGTGGCTCCCAAAATCTGGGAGCCAAAAATAACAGGGGGGAAGTTGAGGAAATAATGGTCGCTATGACAAAAGTCACTCCGTCGGGGCCCGAAAGGAGTTTGCCGCCTCTTTATTAGAGAGCTTTTAAATGCAACAAACTGACGGCGACGGCTACGAAAACACCACTCAAAAAGTGAAGTCGCGCTGCTTCAAACTTCATCACACCTATTCCATCTCCTCCAATTCCTCAAATTTTGGCACTGTTTTCTAGAGTTGAATTCTAAAAGACTGCATTGAACTTCAAGAAAAGAAAAAAGAAAGTCGTTGTTTTGTGCTTACGTCCTCCAACTAAAATTAGGCATTTTCACGTTGTAGTCGTGCAGTGACGGCAAAGAAATGTACATAAAAGCGTGATGCACGCGTAGAATTGTTGTTTTACCAATCTAAGGGCCTGTTTACATGGAGGTGGGGGACCCCAGAATAGGTGAGGTAAAATGTGGCGGGTCACCCCACCTATCATGTAAACGTGATCAACTTAAAACGAGCGATTATATTGACAGGCGGGTTACCCCACCTAAGCCGTTTACCTCACCTACCCTAAAACTCGCTCGGACAACGTGACCCGAAATGCATAGGCCGGGCAGAATAATGAGGCCTAGGGACTAGGTAACAACTTATGTAACTGTGTAGATATCTGCTCTTTTCCGCCCTGTTAGACGCCATTTTGAAATGCGAGTATTATCAAAAGTGTGCAAAGTAGAGGACTTGGACAAAAATTTGTGCACTAGGGTCCCGATGCTCAACTTAGCGCGCTAGTATAAGGCCTCGACAACACAAATATGCCTGAATTCTACTGTGGGTTCGAATTAAAAAGGTCAAAAGGTTACTTGTTTTAATAAATAGAAATTAGAACAGGTCACAGGTGGTAATTATTTCAAGTTTTAATCTAATCTTACACTTCAGTGGCCACAATAATGACCTACTGGTTCTAGAATAATGAAAGAGTGCATTAAGGTTGCGAAGGACACCTTCAGCTCATTGCTATGCATTTATGTAAAGCGTTTACACGAAGTACAGCGACTGGCATTGAAAAGTTTACAAGATATTCATATATAGGAAAATGTCTGAGCTCCGAGGCTTTCTCGGAACAGTAGGTTATAGACCCAATACAAAAATGGCTGTTGGATTAATATTGTTTTGTTGAAATTAAAATTAGCCTGACTAGCCTCTCTTGAGATAATGTATTGTTTTGAATTTTTGTACTGCAGAACGAGACACGCGTGAAAAACGCAGTGCGCATGCGTGCCTTCCCTGCTTCCGGCGCGAATTTGCCAGTGTCTCCCCCAATCGAAATTATACGCGATACTAAAACAAACTAGATTCCGGCCGCGAAATTCAAAAAAGTAAGCTCCACACACAAAAGATAAGCTTAGAATTTCACGAACACAAAGTTTATTAATTCCTTTAGTTTCTCTCTTTTGCACCACATACTTTCCTCCTTGCACCAAAGGCGAAAATCATGTTTGAAAGTCCACGCTCGCTCTGGCAGCACTTCGCCTTAGCCACTAAGCAATGCCTTCTCCATACTGGCGGGAAAAGGAAGAGGCCATGTTTGGATCTTTTTATCCATTGCCTAATAAACAAATATAAACGAACACTTACCAAAACCATTTTTAGAGGTCATACGAAAATCGCTCCACTCAAAATTAACAAAACGGGCTCTGAAAGGTAGTAAACTTTGTTTCAGTGCTTTTAAAATTAACAAAAATAAGGAAATTTAAAGAATTTTTCAAGACAATGTTTTTACAAGCAAAACTAAAAAGTGGAAAGTAATTACCACACCACAATTATATCTTGCTTAGCACTCGTGTTTTAGTCGACACACCTTCGGGGGTCACAAAATTTGAGTTTACCGACAATTTTGTGTTCGAGAATTCTGATCAGCGTAGCTTCAGAACGACACGAGCTGGCAATGCAAAGGGGGTAGACTTGTTAGACAATTTGACAACATTGACGAATTAAACGAGATAGAATAAGCGTCATAAAGTTTAAAGCAGTCAGCATTCACTTTTTAAGTGACGTTTTCGTTTCCGTCGTCGGATGGCTCCGAGGCCTTCTTAGGAACCGTCAACACGTGTTGGGATATTCTTGAATCCACAACTTTTTTTTCCGGATTCAAAAATTTCCACGTCCACACGCATCCGGATGCAAATCGAATTTGCCTGTTCACACGTATAAGGATTCACTCTAGTACCCGGGACTCCTCTGGGAATATTGGAAACAGAGCATGCGTCGTAAAGCGCGCGAAATTTGTAACTTGCTCTACCTTTGTCGGTACAATCTCGACCCCAGTGCGTCATGCGGAGAAGAGCTCTGGGGTCGAGATTGTTGTCGGTTAAGAACTGGGCTCGATCTTGTTACGTCATCAGATAAAAAAGTATCCGGATTTAGCGTCTACTCGATTTCGGATTCATAGCGTATTCAGGCTACGTGTGGATTGGGCCTTAATGACCGAGCGCGTATCCTATATATCAGTTGGTGCTTTCCCCCCAATGTTATGAGTCGCACATTTACAAATGTTATATTATAATCAAATTTACTTTCTTTATATAAGGCGCATGCATCTGTTGATTAGGTAATGACGTATATAATAAATAAAACAATACCTGTCATGCGAGAAAAATGAATGTTGTTGCAAAATTGTGAATAGAAAGCACCAGAAGATTTCCGAAACAATGGTTTTTTATTGCGATGAGTTTCCATGATCTCTACACAAGTTAGACAAAGTGTAACTGTTAGATAAAGTGTAACTGCTGAATAATACAAAATCTTCTGTTTTTCACTAATTCTGATGTTCATTAAATTATATCAAAAAGTCGATTATTAATTACAAATATGAGTTAAAGTAAACAGGTTGCACGTCTAGCTGCTCATATCAACTCGATTAATGTTTAGGTGGAAAAACTGAGACAGCGATTTTCTTTCCCCAAGTCGTAAGTTTTTTGAACCGGTAAATATGTGAACAACGCCCGTGTGCCAATCGGAGCATGCCAGGTTAGAATCCTGGACTTGACAGTCAAATTGTGTAGAACGAAATATCACTGACAGAGTGACTGGGCAAGTTTTGCGTGTTAAATCGTTTCACAAATGCTTTAAGACATGCCACGAACGAGGATGAACAGAGTAGTAAATCCTACCTCCTCCGATATGACAGAAGTTCAAGAAAATTTACATTTCAGCCACTGTTTGGCCTCGCATTTGGCGATGTTTCGTTCCCAGGTCGAGATAACAATGTAGATCACTTGCAGCAACCATTTAAACACTAGGATGAAACAATTTCCTTTAAAAAAATGTCATGAACTTGCTAAGACTCTTGGCCTTTGGGTGGCTGTTAATTATCTAATTATCTAGTGAATTGCACATTATATAACGATACATGTAGAGTAAAAAATTATACCAAATCTAATGTCCAATTGCATTGGAAGTGCCATCAACCTCTGACGCGGATTACATTTAAACTGTCACCAATTCTTCATAAAACTCTACATAAACTTCATATTTACATTATTTGTAAAATAGTACATCTTTAAAATAAATAAAGAATGCAAAACATCGGCAATTTACTTTTTGTCTGAGCTACGTAATGTCTCCCGCATACTACACCTCATAAACCTTCCTCAGAAACTCAGAAACATCCAGATGAAAGTTTGTTTGAGATTTGGCAGTGCAGTAAATTACCATTTACTGAAAAAATTCCAAGCGTGGACTTTGTTTCAGTAGAGAGTGTTTTGAGCAATCTCTGGATAACTGTGCCTTTGCATTACTTCACTTTGCGACTGCAAAAAATCTGCATCACGACTTTCTTGATCAGCTAGAGGTGAAATAAGCAAACGGTGGCCCTCTTGTACTAGCTACGTTACTGATGTAAAAGTATTAAAAAACGCTTATTTAATATAATAGTGTCGAGAAATAATCCTACATTGGTAACAGATATCGAAACGTACGATTTTTAAGTTAAGATGCATGATCAAACATATCCAAAAACTCTTAATTAAGAAAACAGTGAAATGATGCTACATTGATAATGAACAAAGGTGTTTTTGAAGAATAAAGATCATTTAAAATGAAACAATTTCACAGGATGGAAGCAAAGTTAAGAAATGTTCAAGTAGATGATGATGATGAAGGAGACCGAAGGCCACGTTCTTTGATGTCTGTTGCCAATGCTCGGTAAAACAACAAAAGAAGATAAAGTTCTGTGTAAACTGTGTGATTGTCCTTGGCTCTACACGAATGAAGTGACTGAATGTGTTCTGTTGAGCATGCTGCTGCGGCAGTTGTTCTCCTCTTTATTCAGGCCACTCTAAGGAAGAACAAAATGAAACGCTCATAAGATCACTGCCAAATGTAAACTGACCTAACATAACTTAGAAATTATAAAGTTAAAACCCCCAAGGCTGTGCTCTAGCAGCACCCATTGGCAAAGAAGCGAGCCTGAGATAACAACCGACATATCGCGATGCTACCACGGCTTTCCCGCGAAATGACGAAACAGGCACAGAAATTCCGCGTCATCAGTATGGAATTTCTGCGCTCGTTTCTCAGACGTCATTTCGTGGGGAAAGCAGTGGTGGAGTCGCGGACTGTCCTGCGATAAAGATCTCCATTCGGGGAATATCGTGACAAGAAAAGCGCGAGTGGTATGCGAAAGGAGACGCGGGAGCGAAGGGCGGAGAGAAAGGGAAGCCATGGGGTACTTACCATTAACATACAGAAAACCGGAAATTCCGGTTGGGAAATCAAATGGTTCGCAGCATTCAGAAAATATGGGCTGTGATTTGAGACGATGCAATTTTTCTACTTTTTTCAGTCGCTTTAGTAAATTTGGATATGTTTAGTATCGGTTCGTACTTCCACAACGTCGGATTTTATAGTTTTTATATACAGCTATTTCGAGAAAGGTTGTCGGAAAAAATGTGCACGCGACAATCCCGAAAGGTAATATGGGATATGACCAATACACTGTTCCTGACGACTGTAGCTGTCGATCCTACTTTTGTTGCTTTCCTTTAGCACTCACAGACATATGTCCATGGCCTCTCCTGCCATTCTTTCAAATTTCTTTGAAAAATAGTGAACTCTAAACAACCCACAATACCTTTCGGGTTTGTCGCGTGCACTTTATCCGACGACATTTCTCGAAATAGCTGTATAACGAACAAGATTTTCCTTCCACCAGGATGGTTTGTGCAAATAGTAAGCACCCCTGTTCTTCTTTCCTCCGCCTCTCGCTTCGCACGTCACTCTAAATGAAGAACCTTCTGATGCTTACAGGCTACATTGTCTTTTAGGTTTTGCCCAAGTGTAAAACAGTCCAAGCTTTAGGGGCTTTGGGATAACCCATAATATTTCCATAACGACAACCTTGTCCAATATTCAAGCCATAATGCATTGACCGGATTACTTCCATTTTTCATAAAAAAAACTGTCTTCGAACAAATCCAGGATAATAAAGAGAAGAGGTTGATAGCCGTCAAGGAAAACAAACCAAACCTGTTGAAACATTCTTATCCCCATGATAATAGCTCAATATAAAATAAAAAATCATTTTACTTCTAGTGATATATTCTCAATCTCTTTGACAGCAACTTCTGTGTTTGAAAACCTGTCAAATTAAGATTTGTCTGCACTTACAGCAAACTCATTGTACGAAGTACATACAACCATTGATTCATCCTTATTGCTTGCTGATTTGAAACCATTCAGAATTCGAATTGATGCATTAACAGAGCCATTAAACAGCTTGCTCGTGTTGCCATTTTTCTCACAAAGAACCTTTCTTTTCACTGCCAGCCTGGCCGACTGCCGTCTGCTGCCAGGTGTCTGTTAACAAAGACAGGCATTAAAAGATTATCAGTTAATAAATCAGGTTCGCTCCGCGTGTTATCACTAAAAAGTTTTTCATATACTGAGTAGAGAAGTACATACAGTCGACTCCCGTTAATTCGAACCTTCAAAGAAAATTGACAAAAGTTCGAGTGATCGAGGTATTTAAAATTATATAGAAAATAATCTGAAGAGAAAATGAAAATTGCTTCGAGTTAGCGGGAGGTTCTAGTTACCAGGAGTCTACTGTACAGTAAAGGTTTCCGGTCAAGTCGCCCGAAATTCATCCTGCTTAAAATTTCGGGCGACTTGACTAAAAATTTCGGGCGATATAACTTCGGGCGACAAGACTGGTTACCACAGTAACCATAGAGATCAAACCATCGTCAAGTGGTCGCTTACAAGAGGTGGTCGTTTAGGAGAAATTCCAACTGTAAGGCTTTGACCGGAAAATTTAGCCTGCATAACAGGCGCTTTTTTAGCCAAGCGAGGCAAGCACGGCATTAGCTCGCGCTTTGCGCTCAAGAAAAATTTTGAGGTCGAGTTCTAGGCCAGCTTCAACTGGTGTCGCTGCAAGTCTGAAAGCTTTAAACTCCTGCTAGACACTTAAGGATAAAAGCTCTAGTTGTTGGGTGTTAGAAATGTACTTATCTTGCAGGATCTCTATAATTTACGTGCAAACCTTAAGTGGCCTCTATCAAGGAAAGGAAAAGTGGCTGCTTAATAAAAAGGCTGGAGCCTTAATTAGAAGAGGTTCTGCTAACAGTGTATTACAGTTACTGGTAACTTTTTTTTGTCCAGTAGGAATCCAAAAGCTGATTGTTAACTTGAGGGTGGACGCAAAGGTTCAACTACAGGTATTAGTCCGGCTGCTTCGCAATAAAATTATGCGATTTTTGATACGAGAACCAAACTTTGTTTCCTGTTATAGTGCCAAGCTTAATTTTCTAATTCCAGCTTGTTTGCAGCGAATGAAATTTTCGGACACGAGACCCCCGCGAAGTACATGTCTTGGTCTTTTTTGAGATTTAATAAACGTTTCATTCCAAAATACATATAAAAATGCTTTAATTTGAAGTCAATTTGTTATTTTCTTCTCTTCTTCTTTATGTTAATAATTTTCTCGGAAAACTATTATTAACTATTATTCTGCACGTGCTTTTCCACCACTTTCTCTTGGTTTTTACTCTGAATTTTGTACGTGCGACTCTATCGGTGCAGCTAGAGAAGAATGTTATTCCAATCATACAAAGAGAAACAGGCCAGTTTGAACGAACTATTGACTGGTTAAAATGTATTATTTGCCAGGAAGAAACATCTAAAAAGCCTGAATGTCCGGCTAATTCGAAACGACACGACTCTGGTGCTGGACACCTAACTTTTGAGCGAGACCAAACGTCATTAATTTTTTATGATGTGGGAGAGTTACATTTAGCAGTTAACTGGGAATGTCTAAACGAGGGAATGGAATTGCTTCCACTTTAACGAGTCATTTTGCCTTGTGGCATAAATCGTGTCGCGATGCGTTCAATAGGACCAAACTGGAGCGTATAATAAAAAGGAAAGTGCCTGAAGAGAGCCACGGCCAAAGCAGCAGCAACCAGACACGCTCAAGTATGTTTCCAGAGAGCATGAAACGTACGGTTTGCTTCTTTTTGTGAGGAATCAGCTAACGAGGGTGATATAAGAATGGCGTGTACAATGGGTATCGACTCCCGCGTCCGATCTGTTGCTCACAAGTGAAGTGAGTTCCGTCTCATATCAAAGCTGAGTATCGCTGACATGGTAGCTATTGGAGCAAAATATCACGCGAGGTGCCTAGCCGCGCAGTACAATCGCGCACGAGAACATGACAAAGAAAGTTCATCAGAATTAAACAGCTAAAAAGAGGCCCACGGTATTGTCCTGGCTGATCTCATAGCCGAGATACAAAATTCTAGATATGGACAGCCACATACTACCGTTTCCAAGCTCTCGGGTTTGAGAAAAGAGTATTGCAAGAGGCTAATTAGAGAAGGTCTGGCGGAGGAGACTCAAGAGATACATTCCACGCGTCTAAACGAGAAGCTTATAGAAGCCATCCCTGGTTTAACTGCTCACAATAAAGGAAGAGAGGTGTTGGTAGCTTTTACAGAAGACATAAGACATTAAATCCGACGCTTTCTCTAACGACAATGATGCCTATGAGATGTGTTTACAACGTTCAGCTAGCATAGTCCGACAAGAAATATTCACTGAATCATAAGTAGCCAATGGATCGTTTTCTCAGAACTGCCAAAGGGGATCAATCCCCCAGACTTTGCTATCGTTGGTAACCATGATCCTTGAAGGGCCAAAAGCTAAATGCCAGTCAACTATAAAGCAAAGTCAGGCTGCATTAACATTAGCTCAGCTTCTTAAATTCAATAACGTGAAGTAACCCCGTAAGACAGAAGAATGTACTCGGCATGTCAAAAGTCAAGAGAGTCCATTACCAGTGTAAATTGGTGCGAGGCTTCATTTAAAAACACGAAAGGGGATCCTATAGACAGATTACATTCACTTGGCATGTCAATTTCGTACGATGAAGTGCTAGGCTTGTCATCAGATATGGCAAATGCAGTTTGTGAACACTTCAAGGAGACGGATACGGTATGCCCTTCCAACCTGAAAACAAACGTTTCACTATAGCCGCAGTTGATAATATCGAGCACAACACGTCGTCGACAACGGCAATAACTTCATTTCATGGCACCAGCATTTCACTAATAGAGCACCCCACTGTGGAAGGGGAAGGTGTGAAAAACGCACGATTTAAGCAAAGAAATTTGTCTACATAGGTGCACTGCCATCAAGCTACATTAAAATTCTCCCTTTGTCAAGTCAAAAACAAGGTGGTTTAAGAGTGCCAAGTATGCAGTATAATGTAAATGGTGATGATGAAGCACTATCTCTGACCACAGTGAAGGAGACTGAAGGGCTCAACCATATGAGGCAGCATGTAGAAGACCACCAACAGATAGACAAAGAATTTATGCAACCCACTGTTGCCAAGCGAGCTGGAAATGGAAAAGCCCATAGCAAAAACACAACAGCAATGGTATCATGGTCTGCTTTCCACGGAAAACGACAGAAACACGTCAACGCACGATGCCAGAGTTCGTCGCTGCCTCTTTTTGCAGAAGCTGCTCATTCTATAGCCATGATCAAGCATGCCATAACTGTTGTTATGAAAGCTGTTGAACACCTCAACCCAGGGCAAGCTGCAGTTGTATCATTCGATCAACCCCTATATGCTTTAGCCAAGTAAATACAATGGAGATATCCAGACACGACGGGAGAAGATAAGCTGATAGTTATGCTTGGTGGACTTCACATAGAGTTAGCGGTTCTCGAAGCAATAGGATCGTGGCTGTTGGGAAGTGGTTGGACAGAGGCTGTTGCTCAAGCCGGGATAACCACGACTGAAAGGGCTGAGTCATTAGTAACGTCTGCACATTATTACGCGTACAAGATAAGTCCATCAAATTACGGCATCCTCGCTTTATATACTTCAGCTGAGAGCCTACAAGAATTACTGCGCACAATGCACAGAGAACGCTCCTCCATTCCCTGAATGGTGCAGAGATCAAGCCAGTAAGACCCCGCAGCTCCAATTCTGGAATATGACCCTCACGTTCTAGTTACTTATTCTCATTCTCGTGCGCTCCTTTCGACAATCGGACTTCAGACAGTATACGGCTGCTTTGATGGCAATTACCCCTTGGATGTTCGCTCTAGATCGCACTAATTATTAGCGGTGGCTACCAGTAGATATTAGGGACATGGTAGACCTACCAAATAAACACCCACACGTCTACAAGGAGTTCTAAAATTGTGGAAAATTTACAGTGCAGAAGCAGACGACTAATACTTTTTCATCTATACCACCAGACCAGGCTCATGAACAGAGTAATGAGTTAATCAAGGGGAACAGCGGGATTATGGAATCACTGAGAATCCTGGTGCGCTTTTAAGATGGATGGTGGCCGGACCGGAGCTGGCAAAAATGGTAAAAGAGTTTGAGATTACAATAGAGGAGGACAGCACCAACCAGACTTGTACACCACATCATTAGCAATCCACGGCTTGTCAAGCGCGCTTGATAAGTCATGTTCAATCTCTGGTGTCTACTATGGAAGAGCTTGGCAACTCATTTGAAGGGGAAAGCACACCCCGATCTCACTTGTATCGAAAGACATAGCTGATCCAGCAATGAAAGCTTCTTTGAACAACACTGAGTCAATTGGAAAGGGGCAGTATGAACTCTTCATCAAAGAAAAGCTTACGGAGAGATTTAAGCCAATCGATGACAGCATTTCAAGAAATAATCTTCCTTTGTGGAAACCAGGGTCTAAGAGTTCAACATCAAAAGAGAAAATGAAGCTAAAATCTGTAAAAACGGACTGCCAGCTGTTTCGGAGGCCATACATCGGATGTCAAAGTAGAGATGGTGATCTCGATGATTTCTTTTCTCATGAAAATCAAGGGTCTCCTCCTTCATTATCGGACTGTGGGAGAATCAGGTCAGGTAGCAAATGTGACTTAATACAGTGCATAGATAAATTGGTGGGCACAGAAGAGTCCCATAATCACGCCACAATTCTGTAAAACTTTCATGGAATACAGCGAGATCTTTCTACCGTACATCAAACCGTCAATTGAAAATGTACAGAGGCTGGATTTGGTGTGGGATGAATACATCCCTAACAGTTTGAAGGCAAGCACAAAGCAGAAGAGAGACACTGGCGCCAGGAGGAGAGTTCTTCCATCTGCTATGGTAGCCCAAAACTGGCAAGAATTCTTATGTTTAGATAACAACAAGAAGGAGCTGCTCCTGTTCTTTTCAGAGCAGGTCGTGAAAATGGCGATCTAGGGCAGGCAAACTATAGTTACAAAAGGAGAAGAGGTCCTCTGCTCTCCACCTGCGACAGGGAGGAATAAATTGTCACTCTGTTCGCATGAAGAAGTAGAGACAAGAATAATGGTTCATATTACTGATGCAGTACAAGATGGTCACCAGTCAGTCATGATCCGATCAACAGACACTGACGTGGTAGTGTTAACTGTTGCCGCTGTTGCAACTTTAGACCGAAAGGAATTGTGGGTCTCCTACGAAACCGGAAAAAATCAAAAGATCCTACCAGCACATCTCTCCCCATCTCCCCCGTGTCTCCCCATCTTCCATGCCCTGACAGGGTGCGACACAACATCCTTCTTCGCTGGGTATGGAAAAAGACCAGCCTGGGCAGTTTGGGAGAACTTTCCAAATGTTACTAGTACATTTCTGGAGCTGGCAGGGACCCCCTCTAGTATTTCTGAGGAGAATCTGTGCACCATAGAACGATTTATCATTCTGATTTACGACAGGACTAACCACCTCAGCAAGGTGGGTGTTAATCTTCTTCGTTTCTTCTTGAGGACTTGTGATCGTGTAATGTTTGGATTTATTTATACTTACTATTTGGTATTTGTTTCAGGTCAATGATGCCCGAAAGTGCTTATTCACAAAGAAAGGAAGAGGTTTGGAAGGAGTCCCATCCACCCGGGACGCTCTGGAACAACACGTGAAGTGCGCCGTGTATCAAGGAGGATACGTGCGGGGGCAAGCAACGGTACTTAAGCCTGTTCTTCCTGAACCCACAAATTGGGGCTGGACCTTAGGGAGAGAAAAGCAAGTGCAAAGAGCTGCTCCATTGTGGTTGTAAGAAGAGTTGTAGCGAAAGATGCAAATATGTAAAGGCAGACCTTCCATGTACCTCGCTTTGTATATGTGATGGACAACGCGTTCGTGACTAATTTGTATTAATTTTAAAATTCAAACTATTTAACAGGGCTAAGTCATGAAGATATTGTTGCTTTGTGCAAATTCTGTGCTGAAGCTGCCTTCACCCATATAAAACAATGCTCCAAGGAGCACTAACCATTGTATATTTTTTCTTGATTTTACCAGCACGGCATTAAAACTTGAAAATGTTGGCCCAACGTTTCCATGTTTTACTTCATATCCTAGCAACCGGGGACAGGAAAATAAGGTCGTTGATAACAAATTTTGGCCGTTCTTGTTACAATTCATTTCTAACAAAGACACATTTTAGGTTCTTAAAAAGAAAGGAAGTAGTGTGACATAGCCCCCTTAATTTTCCCATTGCTATGGCAACACATCGTGAAGTTGCATGTGATAAAGAAGACGTATGCAGAAAACAGATTTAACAATTTGCGGTTTCTATGGAAACCGACATATTTTCGGCTTGGCACTATATCTGAAAATGTTTGTATTGGTGACTTCTATCAGTGTGCCAGATTTCATGCTTGTATCAAAAAGTGCACGATTCATCTGAAATTTGGAGCTAAGCTGCGTGAATATATATTATTTTGTTAATCATAACTATAAAAAAATTCTCAAATATGATTGGCCATCAACTGTCCTGATTTCAGCACTAAAGGACACTAGTACACGTCACACCCAAGTAATTGGACGGTACCCACCATGTTGTGAGCGCACTTGAATGAGTTTTTAGTTTTATAATAAACTCACTCTGTTTTAATTTTAGAAAAGTTTAAAAAATCAGAAATCATGTCATAGTTATGATTAAGATGGATCATTATATGTTTCTGGGAAACTGCCCACCTACCCCTCCCCTAAGCCAACATTAACATGTACTTCTCAGTTACGGAAAAAAGTTTTCTTAGGGGAGGGGTATGTGGCTCAGAAACACATGATCCATGATTAATTAGTGACAGAATTTGTGTTGTCCAGTTTGGTTAGTAATCATACTTGGTTTAAAAAAAACAGACTCCTCCTACACAGTCGGCCAATTTTGTTAGTTACGTGTATGATTATAGACCGAGAAGACTCCACTCACTCCTATTACCATTATTTATCTCCTTACCACTTTTTTCTTTATTGTCTTTGTCACTTTTCTAACACTTGATTTAGTGGTAAGAGGTGGGCGCCCAGCTGATTTTCCAGCAGCTGGTCTTGGTGATGGACAAATGCTAGAATGTAACGGAAACTTGGATGGTGTGGATGTTGTAGTTGCATCTTGCATCTATACAAGTAAAGGAAAAGAAAGTTATGCAAGTGATCAAACATTTGAACTACGTGTAAACAAGCTCTCTTGTGCACAAAACGCATGCCGCAGAGCACTGTAGCTAATAAAATTTGGTTATCTATGCATCCAAGAAATTTGAGTCCCGACAAAAGTTTGTGCCCATGCATGTATGAATGTCCGCCCGTTCAAGTTAGCGGATGTGAATGTCACATCATTACTAGCTTGAAGTCCAAGGCATACTGTACAATCTGCAGGGTTGTCATTAAGAGCCGGGGGACGGGGATTTTCCCCGGCTACTAAGAGAGTGGCCTCCGGCTACTTTTATTGGAAAATAGAAGAAAAATAGAACCAAAAGAAATCCCTGGCCGTTTGATTCCCCGTCTACTTGTTGTGTTTACCCGGCAACTTGAAATCTTAGTGACAACCCTGAATCTGTGTCTAACTTGATATTGGACATCCATGTAAGGTATCCTCTATGAAGTTATATCTCAGCATAACAAGAACACTGATTACAGAGAGCACTCACCTTTATTCGCTTTGATGTCTTCAGAGGTGTTGTTGTTCCACCCAAAGGTCTGGCATTAAACAAACAATAAATAATATTATATTTGTTGTTGGTACTTTCTTTATTTAAAGTTATCAATACCACAAAAACACAATTACCTTTTCTTGGGTGTGGTAGCTGGTTTGCTTCCATAGACCATTTCTTTCTCCATTATCTCCTGTTGCCTTTTGTGCTTTGGAAAGAAATTGAAACTGTTATCCCTTTAAGCCCCAATAGTGACCGACATCCAATTTCTCCCACTAATAACACTGCCTGATCAAACAGACAGGTCATGAGAATTAATGGAATGATCACCAAAGATGAAATGTTGTGATGTTAGAACAAATTCTCTCAAGCAGTACCATAAGGAATTATGAAGAACAGTGTGGAGAAGATGCATGTTGATGCTGGAGCTTAAAGGGTTAACCAGAAAGCAATCCTTTTTGTCACACTGAGGGATGCAGTTTTTTCAGGAACAAGATCCAATGAATGTACATGTAATAAAGGGCTAAAATCATCGGTGGCACTGGCTGTGTTTACTCTGGTATGAGCTAAAAGGATACATGGGAGATTCACTTACATGGAACACTTATATCCTTAAGGGTGGTATCCGGTCACTTTGTTCCATGGTCAGATCGTTCTACTTAATAGACAAATTGTTCTACAATGTAATCAGAACTTTTCATGAACAGAAACAAGGGCATTACTCATGTGTATATAACTCATTCTTTAAGGCAAGAAGCCAGAAAAAAAGCACGTTTCACTTCAAGGTTTACACTGAAACTGTGGAACAATCTGAAGTCCTACAAAATGGAACGATCTAACCAAATGATTGTGATGCCAATCACTCTTGGCAAGAGTAAATGATACCATATTGGCAAGGTTGATTTTATGTGGAGGCATTTGTTCCAAGTCAGACTGCTATTAAAGTGATGAACAATCCACATACATTTCAAATATATCACATTATGAACATTTTGTTGTTATTTAAATAACTTACAGTGAAAAGAAGAGAAGACAAGTACATTACACATCCAGTGTAATATTTACACTAATTTTCCCCAAATTCTTGTGATAATAAAATAATTCCTTACTCTTTCTAATATCTCTTGCTCTTTCTGAGCATTAAATGCTGCCCACTGATTTGTGATTATGTCCATGTAATGACAGCCATTAATCAGGAATCTTCTCTCATTTTCTTCCTCCCATTTTCCTACGTCCACCTTCAGTTTCTGCTCAATCTATTTCAACAATAATTCATGATTAATGAATGGAAGAAATGACAACTTAAACTTAATATTAATAATTATTTAGAATAATTCATAATATAATGGTTATTATTTGAAGATAAAACAAGGGAAATTGCCATAAAGGAGGTTAAGAAAGCAGATTTGTCAGATGTGCCCATTTTCCACTAATAAATATTAACCCCTTCACACCTGAAACACAATTTGAAACCTTAGTGACACTCACAGCCTTGCTAATTTCAATAAGTTTATTTTGCAAAATTTAGCTTTCAAGTTCTCCACTTTGTAAGCAACATCACAGACTCCACATGAAGTGTTGCAGTGTGCAAAGCAAGTCGTGTCCAGTAGCCTGAGGCTAGTGGACTTTTGCTATTAGGCTATATTGAATTCTTAACTCGCCTGAGGGGCAAGAGGAGTTTTCTGGCAAAATTCAAAATGCAGAAGAACCATAATCAATAATTCATTCCGAACATTTATTTTGGCTAGTTCAAATGACTCTAGCTGATCTTAGGCTAGAACTAAGGAGAAGAGCTATGATTTATAACTATTATTTATTCAATCTGCTCATGAAAACATTAATTTTATTCAGGTTAGTTAAAATGACTTTAGCTGATCTTGGGCTAGAATAATGTATTCACCTTTGGCAATTCTCTATTTATTCCTTTTCGGATTTTTTCCTCTTTGAGCAGTGCTCCTCCACGGTTGGCAAGCCTGTTAGAATCATTCTTACGAGTCTGAAAGAGAAAGGGCGACAGTATCATCCATCATGTTCCGTTACTATTGCCCTGGTACATGTATTTAGGACACCTGGTCATACTAGCTATAATAGCCAGTAATTTAATAGCCAGCAGGGTGCCCTTTTGCACACTAGCAGCATCTACACAGTCAGAAAGCTACAATCAGCGATGAAATTAGTTTGTGATCGAGACACTTTGCACTAAATTAGGGCCTCTCTAATATTTTGCCAACTTAAAAAAATAAAATAAAATAAAGTCTTCCTCCCCCATCCCCTCCATGTTGTGCCACTGTTTGACACCCCAACTTTGATACTAGGGAAGGGGAATACCCCATTTGAGGAAAATGTCTCAACAATTTTGTTGCTAACTGTAGCTACATGTACCGTGGTTAACAAGAGTCTTTGAACCTTAAAACATAAAACTGTAATGGCAAGTGATTAAAAAATATTTTGCTCTCTCTTTGGTTACGGCTTTTCAAGTTCATCGCAAAGGAAAAATTAAAACCCTCCCATAGCTCCCAGGCAAGTTAATGCCGCCCATGTATGTACAGACTGTTAATGTATCAATTACATGTACTAAGCAGCAAATACATGTAATGTTGCAATTTGAGCACATTGTGTGAAAGTATTAGTAATGTTATTATGTACATGTAACAAGTCTTTTGTATACAGTGGAAGCTCTCATAAGCGGACACCCTCAGGACGTAAAAAGGGTGTCCATAACTGGGGCTGGCCGATTACGGGAATGTAAAAATACAGAGTCTGTAAGGGGAGTTGAGAAAAACAGCATTTTGTGAAGGTGGCCATAAGTAGAGCTGCCCCTGACTTACTAGAGTGTCTGTTAGAAGAGCTTCAAGTGTAATTTTAATTAAGTTACCTCAAATTCTTCCATTGTCTTGAACAAAGCTTCCCTTTTCTCCACAAGCTTAAAAATGTTCTTGTTTTCCTCATAATAGTTTTTCATGACTTCCACTTGATGCTCATGGATTGACAGAAGCTCTTCTGTGTAATTTTCTAAGTATGCCATGAATAAACAAGAGATCAGAGATAGAAGATTCATACTCAAATATGCAAGTACCATACGATTCATGTATAATAAATCTAATACGCCATGCAATGATGGCCTATCATTAACAAGTACATTTTCTTTGATGCTTGACTGAAAATAATATATTACAGAGCCAACATTTCCTCATGCCAAAGTAAATAAGGTAAATCAGTTATCAGGGCCACTGTGTATTTTGATATCCCTGGCCACTGCAGATTGTTGGAAAATTGCACTCACAAGAAAAAGAAAAATAAAATAATTGTGTCACTATCATTGTCATTGCCATGGTTTGTGCTAGCTCTAATCGACCACAACTGACTCAACCAATCAGAGCACAAGAAATTGCTCAGTTATTGTAAAAAAACCCCTGAGCTTTAGTTTTAAATTTCTTCAAGAATAAGCATTTTTCATTTTAGGGGTCAAACACCCCACTCAATATGTTTCATCCAATATCCAGACACCTTCTACAGTTGGTCTTAAAAGCCTTGGTTTTTGAACCAAGCCTTGAGAGAAACACAACCTCATTCCCAGGTTTCTCTCCTACTTGTCTCGGACAAGTAGGAGAGAAGCCTGGGAATGAGGTTGGAGGAAACACTGCAGCTTTCTTTGCTGCACAGTGTATTAATGCCACACATACCATCGAAAGCTGGTGTAAACTCCTCTCGCTGAGCAGGTCCAAAGAAACATTTGTCCCACAGATCTGATAATTCCTTTCTAGAATAACAAGGTAAAGAAAGCCCATTGGTTTCTTGGTTATAAACATCCGGTCTTCTGGATATTGACTGAGGAACCTTTTTACTGTATGGTATTTTATAGTGGTATACGAAGGCATATAATAAAACGTGAACTGGACTGGATTAATAAAACATGGATTGATAACTGTTCATTATGTGTGCAGGAATGCAGATTTGAATGTTGATACTGGTTGCGGCAACGACTATAAACAGATTCATTTTTTCAAATAATCGATTCATTAATCTAGGGGGATACGCTTGACTTGACTCAACTGTACATGCAATTGTGGGTAATTGCCTAGTCAGTGTAACATGAAATTCAAGGTCGATTTCTGAGAAGTTTGCAAGGTTTTAACGGAACGAACTTCCAACACACATAGCTGACACAAGAAAACTCATCTGCAAAGTGAGACACAATGAAAACTGTTCTTGTATCTTGATTTTTGCTCTCATTTTGAAGCTGATGGTTCAAATTGCTCTCATTTTCTCTGTAGAAAATTTCTGCTTTTGAATAATTCATTGCAAACAGCAGTTCTTGATCATTAAAAAGGACTGAAAAAACAAAAGGAGTTTCTGGCAAAAGAGAAACACTGTCAATCCATGTTTTATTAATCCAGTCCAATCCATGTTTTATTATACGCCATATACAAATTCTATGTACAGGAAATGCAGGGCTCGAAATAAAAAATTTGTGGCTAACTAACTGTTAGGGTTAGTGGGCATAAATTTTACCAACCAAATAATAAATTTCATTATGCAAGAATCGGTGCTTAATTAGTGCTAATAAAATAATGCGGGAAATGTATGGACTTGTGTGAGCCTATTGAGTCAAACAGTCAAGAATTCAGAAGACCTGATTTACTCCTTAGTAGATTTCAGAAAATAGGGTATTGATCTTGAAAATGATCATCACACTTTTGTCATTTGAGTGGTTTGTGGAGCTTGCTTTTGAGAGTTTCATGTTAGAGTTGGTCTGGAATCTGGCTGTTAAAGCCCATTTGCAGTTTTGAATTAAAGTTCATGTAGCTGGTAGACACCTCTGTTAAATACACTTGCATACCTGAGGCCATCAATGAATTTCTGCATGTGTTGCAGTTTCAAAGCTTGCAATCGTTCCACCTCGCTCTTTAGCTAAAAAGAAAAGAAGGATGTGAGGGTCCTTCACACTTATTTAATTTGCAAATCAATATCAAAAGCTAAAAGGCACTTTGTGTACATTATTATTATCAATTTTACTGTCTCGTTGGTTATTACCTACCTTAGTAATTATAGAAGGTTTATGTCCAACATTTTTAGTAAGGAAAGCTTGTCTTTCTGTCTCATCCACTTCCAGTTTGATCCAAAGAGACTTGATTTTTTCTCTCAAGTCTGCTGCCTCAGAGATATTTCTTTTCTGTTGACTCTCCAACTTCCAAGAAAAAATAATTACTATATGAATTAACAAAATTAATAATAAAATCCTGTTACCATCAAACCCATGGTCACCCTTTGTGAATGGCTTTCTGACCGCTTAATACAGGTTTGACAAACCTAATATTAATTCAAGAAAATGAAGATGGTGAAAAAGCAAAATACAATGTATCTATCCCACGACAAAATGACCTCAAAGTGTTTGGATCTACCTCTTCTTGTGTCAAAAAAAAATGAATAAAAGACCACTAAAGGATATGGAAAGTCCGGTGATCTGCTGCAGTTAGTATTACATCTCGTGATTGAAAGTTATTGTTTAATGGAGGTAGAGACATTAAGAGTCGTTGGGATCTAGGAAAAGGTGACTGCAACCATAGAGGTGACTGCTTAATGGAGGTCAGCTTTACACTAATTACGGGAAATGATTTCCGGGAATTTCCTTTGGTAATTGACCATCCATAGAGGGTGAATGCTTATTAGAGGTCCACTTGTAACAAGTTGGACTGTAGTATAAGTAACAAAATAATATTATTATTACAGTTTATTATTCATTCAAAATATTTCTCCGTTTCTGATTGGCTAAAATCACAGGCATATAATTCATCATAACCAGCCACTGTTGACCAAATTTGGAAGACTTTTGCCATATTGAACCGATGACGTCAAAAGTGCAACAAAGTTGCAAATTGTTGAACCGTTAACCGAGAAAACCTGGGGACAAGTTTAAGTTGTTTTCGAAATTAGTAATGGGAGAACATTATTTCTACTCATTTCACGGCGAACTATTGTTTAAAAACATGGCAAGAACAGCAAGAAGACAACTCGACGAACGGTATCTGCTATTTGGAGTAGATTTGCAGGCCTGAAAAGCCCCCATTCTCCTAAACTTTCGATAAAGATACACTATCGATAGCATGTTTTTACTTGTTTTTATTGTAATTATTATTTTGAATGAATAATAAAGCTTTGAATTTAGCCTTTGTAAGATATGAAGAATTCTGCAGATCTCAGAGGGTGTTATCCACCTGGGCCGTATAACACCCTCCTTGATCTGCAGAATTCTTCACATTCTACGGAAGCCGAATTCAGTAACTGCTAAATGTTCTCACACTTAAGGTCTTCATTGTCAAAGGAAAGAGGTTCAACTGCTTACCTCTTGATTTAGGTCCCTCAGTGCCTCCATATTTTGAGAAGAAAGTTTAAATGTTGTTTCAGCATCTTCCTTAGCCATTTCTTTTCCTATCAATGTTGATGGCACTGTCTCTAACTCTTTCCACAATGTCTGGATGGAATGCCTTAGTTCCTTGAAAGTATTTAGTCTTTTGACCTGGAATAAAAAATGGCAAAAGCCCTCAAAAGCATTGCTTACAGGGTGCAAAGAAAGTAAGTTCTACAGTTTTCCATTTGGGCAGGTTGTATCTACAGCTGTAGCATCTACTAGCCCAAGAGTCTTTTTAACTAGCCAGAAAAAATTTTGATGAGCAGGATTGATTACATAAATTAATTTTCATCCCTGGTTTAAAAATAACTTGATTTTTCTTAGGTTAGTTTGTCTATGGGCATGGTTCATGTACACGGTGTACAGAAATCTGTAATGTATGACATGTATTTGAAGTAAAAGGAAATCAAATCTGAACCAAGGATAAAACTGAAGGTCCACAACATGAAAATGTTACACATGTATTTATGAATGTACTACAGCTGTAAGACTAAGGTTACGCACACAGGGTGCAAAGAAAATCATTTTTACAGCTTGCCATTTGGGCAAGCTGAAGCTAGTATTTACTAGCCCAGACGTCATTTCAACTAGCCCCAAAAACTTTTTGTTCTTCTGTTATTCAAATTCCTCATAAAACATCACTTGCCCATCAGGCAACTTAAAAACAGAATTCACTAGCCCGATAGCAAAATCCACTAGCCCCGGGCTATCGGACAGTACTTTCTCTGCACGCTGCACACGATCATTATAACTACATTTTCTAAACTTGTACGCTGGGATTACATGTAATTGCAATCAATTAACTTACTGTTATTACTTTCCTCGGCAGCATGTTTTCCTTTTTTTGTTCTTGTATTTAATCTGCTCCAAATGGGGTCACTACCTTTTTGTGGTGGGGCAGTTTGCGTGTCTCAATGACCCGTAGAGCTAATGTCAGCTGGAGTCTTGTACTCCTGCTAGGGCCACCCATGCCGAAAAGGTCGAAGGGTATAGACCAGACAAAGAGTGACCCCCTGGTCCTCCAGGTTTGGGGTTGGGTGTAGGGCTAACGACCCAGCTCCATAAAAACACTAACTGTTACAGAAACCAGAAGCATTGATAATGAGACGACACTGACTGGGGGTGTTGCAGCTGGGGCTGCAATGATGCTCTTGGGTTTAAGCCTGCCAGAAGCCCAAAGGCCGATAGGTACCATAGTAGCCCCCATGCGGCAGACAATAGTTGGTTGCTGGAACGTAAGGACCATGGCGGAGACAACATGGGCAGGGCAAGTAGCTAAGGAGATTAAAGAGTATGGGATTGAAGTGCTAGGGATAAGTGAGGCCAGGTGGAAAGGGAAGGGATTTTCAGTAACACTGCAGAGTGGAGAGAAGGTGGTGTATGTAGCAAATGATGAGGTACAACAGGGAGGAGTAGCCATCATGATGAGTGCTGGGCAAAGGGGAGCCTTGATGGAATGGATGCCAATTAGCAAAAGGATCATTACAGCGCAATTCTACTCAAAGTACAAAAAACTGACAGTGATACAAGCATATACACCAACAAAGGATGCGATGGATGAGGAAAAGGATTATCTCTACAACCAGCTGCAGTACACTCTTTCAAGCTGCAAAAGAATTGATGATTAATTGTGGTGATGGGAGATTTGAATGCTAAGGTAGGCAACAACAATACCAATAGAGAGGAGGTTATTAGGAAGTTTGGCATTGGTGTTATGAATGACAATGGAGAGGTTATGTAACTTCTGTAGAGCAAATGGGTTCATCATAACTGGAACAATCTTCCCTCATAAAGACATCCATAAGCTGACCTGGAGGTCACCAGATGGGAGGACAGTAAACCAGATTGACCATGTTCTAGTGAATGGAAACATGAGAACATCTATATTTGACACTAGAATAATAACAAGAGCAGTGACCATTACCTTATGAAAACGAGGATACTGCTAAAGTTGGCAAGAGCTGACGGGAGGAAGAACATAAGGGAAAGGTATGACATAGGTAAACTGCAAAGTCAAGAGATCAGAAGGAGGCATGACATTGAAGGGAGGAATATTAAGGTTTGAAACTTTAGGAGACATTAAGATGATGCAGAGGAAGAACACGATATGATTTTGGCAAAGAAAGTCTTGGGGAGGTCAAAGAAACTTAGTAGACCATGGATATGAAGCAAAACATGGGAAAAGATCAAGGAGAGGAAAGAGGTAAAAAATTGAAATTGGAGGGTGCAAGATCGCAACGACTGAAAAAGGGATGGAGAGAGGAGTATAATGTGAAGAACGATGAAGTGAAACAGTGTGCTAGGGAGGATAAAAGAAATTGGTTAGAGAAGAGGGCTGCAGTGGCGCAAAAGGCTGCTGGGAATGGTGGGACCAAGAAGCTATACTGCATTACTACGTAGATAACTGGAAAAAGGTGGAAATAAAAAAATAGACCTGTGCTAAGGACAAACAAGGGGTGCTTAGGACTGAAACAAGAGAAAGACTGCAGAAATGGGTGGCGCACTTTTATACTTGAAATATTAAACAGAGATGACCCCATGAATCCTGTGGAATTGAGGATGACATAGTAGAATCAGAAGAGATTGAGGAAATAGATGTAGGACGATGGCGATTACAAGAGGTCAAGGATGCGTTGAAGAAGACAGCCAGGGAAACCAGCTGGAGTAGATGAGGTGTGTCCGGAATTATTGAGAGCTGACATGGAAAACTGCAAGTAGGCTGACTAGTTGTTACAACAGGCTTTCGAGAGACTGAGAGGTGGTTGAAAGTGTGGAAGAAGGGACTTGTTGTGAATTCGGTGTTCAAGAAAGGTGATTTGTATGTCTTGAATGCAACAGCTGGAGAGGGGTGACTTTACTACCTGTCACTTGTAAAATTTTCTTTACAGCATTAGGATGGACTCCTGAAGGTTGGAGGGAAGAGGAAGACCAAAACTCACTTGGAGAAGGACAGTTGAGAAAGAGCAAAACAAAGCTGGGTGGAAGAGCTGGGAAGTAGCCAAAGCGGTTGCACAAGACAGAAAGTGTTGGTCAGACAGCGTGGAGGCCTTATGCGCCTACTTACTGGCGCGATAAGACTTGATGATGATGATGATTTAATGCTTTATACTACTACTGATGATAAATTTCTGCAATTTGATTGGTTTAGAGCAGTGGTATTTCAGCTTAATTTGAAATACATGTACCTACATGTAAAAATTACAAAACCTTTGCGGGTAATAGTATAAACAAATAATAGCATGATTTGTATGTGATATTTGGCATAAATACCACTAGTGATATTTCAAAATTGTCTCAAATTTCACTTGCCTAACGGCTTGGGAAATTACGTATAACAATTTTGAAATATCACTCTTGGTATTTATGCCAAATATGACTACGAATCATTCTATTACCTATACAAATACCATGATACAGGGTGCAAAGAAAATCATTTTTACAGCTTGCCACTCGGGCAAGCAGAAGCTAGCATCTACTAGCCCAGATGTCATTTCAACTAGCCCCCAAAACTTTTTGATGAGGCGAATTGATTTCACAGTTCCTCTGTTATTCCAATTCCTGAAAAAACATGATTTGCCTGTCGGGCATGTTAAAAACAGAATTCATTAGCCCGCTAGCAAAATCCACTAGCCCGGGCTATCGGACAGTACTTTCTTTGCATGCTTATGATAGTTTCGTTAAGGGGCCTTTGGGTATGTTTAATAAACCCATTAATTTGTGCGACTAATGCTACAGCTATACAGTTTGTAGTGGAACCATTCTCTCAAAATTGGACAGTCAAATTCCATTAAAAAAAAAAAAAAAAAAAAAAACAAGCTCTCAGAGATTTGAACCATATACACTGTAGGAAAATAAATAAATAATAGAACAATCAGTATTAAGAAGAGCTTACCTGTTCCTTTAGTAAGTACTGCACATTGGCTTCCAGCTCTTTCAGTTGTTCCTTAGTTGGTACATTAACCTCCCCCAAGTTATGAGCAGGAAGACATAATTGCTCGCAAAACTTTGATTCCTGTTCTCTCAAACTCTTTAATGTTTTGATGCGTTCATGTTTTTCCTGAATTGCAATTCGCACCATGGATTAAATTCATAAATTTTAGAAGGCAGATAATTTATCCTCTTTACTTAAGTTTTGTAGGAAGAATTTGTAATTCTAAGGAGCTTTTAAAAACTCATTAAAATGTGTAAGTGCACTGGGGTGTAGACTGATTATTTATTTTAGCCTGTGTGCCTGAGTCTCTCTATTGTTTTTATGTATTTGAAATAGGAGATTTCCGCAAGCTGGTTAAGTTGCCATTAAGGTAATTTAAAGTTTGTAATGAAAAAAAAAAAATGATTGGGCTACATGTATAAAAGTTAACTCTATCCTAGGTTTTTACAGTTGAAAAGGAGTTATTGAATATAACTCCTGTAATACTGAGAGTCATAATGTTCTGTGACACATCAGGGCTTTCACCTTTTCATCTGAAATTAACTTAGTCTTACATTTGCCCAGCTGTCCCTAATAGTCCAGGAGCAAATGTCATAATGTTAGGTGCCACAGGATTTTTTTTGCTGAAAGCAAGCCACTGGTCTAGGAATGTTCATTAGGACATAGAAGTCGTGAAAAGTTTTGGTGGTAGCTTTGCAACC